AAAACAGTCAGCGAAAAATACAACGCCAACGTACGTCTGATTATTCGATTACAAGGAAGCAATCGACACAACGGAGTAAGGACACCGTACTGGAAGACTTCACAGAAAACGGATAGATCCTTGGCAAATTCACATTGTCTACGCCTCATTTATAGGATAACACACAGAGGTAAAACTTGTGCAAATAAGTAGATTCAAAAAGGCTGTGCAATTTAGATTCGGTATCTTAAGATCATCATAACCGCTAAAAATATGGGTGTTGTTTTTTTGATATTCTGGAGGACTTAAAAGAGATGCGAAAGCTTCAGAATTCTTTGCCGGCACCTTCACAATCAGTTATCGATGGCAAACTAGGCTTGAGTACTTCCGTAACTCCACCTCCATCTTTTTTCTGGAAAGATTCGTACGTATCGTCACAAACTTGTTAGTGTGCCTCATCTCAAGTTCGTTGGAGATGCTTTGAGAACTTGTAGTATACCGTCAAAAAAACCTAAATAATGCCAAAACTGATCGAAAAAACTGCCTTGCAATTTTTAAAAGGTTTTTTACTTCTTATATTTAACTAAGACAAAGATCAATAAAGCAGGTTATTAGATGGTACTCATGCAATGTTATAACAATGCAGGGAAGATCGTCATTGTGGGGGAAAGATCAACTTGAGCAGCTCTGTGGAACTGTGTGAGTGACGAGGCCCAAATAAAGAAGCAGCTAACTGCCATCCAATGGCGAAAAGAAACGCGGCTATAAAATATGGCTAAACAAAGTATCAGAATATAGCCAAATGAATTCTGCAACATCAATTTGCAAAAAAACGAATTAAAGCAAAATTTTTTGGTTTTAAATATAAACATACCTTGTCGACTTTACATTTTGGGCATCTCCACGTAAGCACATACTTGTACGTATCCTTTGTGAGAAATTTACAACTCATTGTCAGTTCCTCTCCGACATATGGCCACGCGTTTAAATTTACAATCTCCGGCAAAGCTTCCGTCTGGTTATTAGTTTCACCTGGCACAATTATTATTTCTGATGTGGAACTTCGATATTCACAACGAATCGGCGTTTCAGTGCGGTCATTAAGAAGCAACGAGTCTACAGTGAAGCCAATCCTGAAAATCGGAGAGGAACTGGGTACCTCTTTGTCGTTCGTTCAATTTACTTGTCTTAACAACTGATTAATCCGCCACCGCAGCAAAAACGTTCCAGTATCACGTTTCGTTTGTTCAGCTAATTTAGCTTTGAGAACAGATATGCGCATTATGATGCGCACATCGTTATCCTATACCAGAAACTAGATGCAGCAACATGCTTCAACTATGCCAAGCCGCTCTGACTAGGTTCACCCGCTTTGGATGTGTTCTATCAAATCTCCTACCCAAAGATGCTTCTACGACTTTTGACCTTCGTTCCGACAGCTGCTTGCTTGTGTTCAGAACTGACTAATATCTGCCGGCCGTAGCAGCAGAAAAGTAATGCCAAACAGTATTCCACCTTGCATCTTTTCGGTCCGCT